GGTTCTCCGCAACGTTATTCGCTGCAGTCTTCGCCAGAGCGCCGTCTTCCAGCGTCGGAGTACTGAACATTTCGTACGACTGACCGCTCGCGTCCGTATGCTGTTGCCGAGCCGTTGCTGTGTCCTGCGATATCTTGCCGCCGCGAACCAAGCATGCATCAAGGGAGCTTTCACTTGACGCGAGAACAGTCTGGATTCGAAGTAGTTCCCTATAGCGGTGACAGCGTCGCTACGACGATTGGTAGATTCGGCCACCGGCTGAAGCAACGAGCTTCACCGCGGCACGCTGGAGAGGGGTACCCAAATTGAGGGAGTTGCTTCCTGTGGAGGTGTCGCGGCAGTTCGTAGATAATTACCCGAGGCTTCAACACCTGATCAGCCTGGCTGAAATACTTGGAGATACACAAGCCGACCTTCGACAGCAAGCGATAAGCCTCCTGTGGACGTCACCGAGCTCGCCGATCCGTACCACTGAGAAATAGATTCACATTTCTCCCGTTTGGGGTTTGCTGGACAATTGATCAGTGTTGTAATTCACGTTCGCTCTCCTCAGCTGAGTTCAAGTGTTTCCTCACTAAGTACAGGAGTTTATATACGAACCAGGGTAGGAATGGGCAGAAACCAACCAAAATTTCCTCAGAATTTCCATATTGTCACAAACACGTGTGGTTGACCATTTGCATATTTTCCCACACTGCCAGTGACTGACTTGCGAGATAGCAGATCCATCGATGGTACGACTAGCGCTACGAGCGCTCATAGTTTGTGGCAATCGCGCAGATCGCAAAGCTGGAGTCGACTGAAATAGCCCTGTCGGTGTTACAAGCTTCTGCCGGTAATAAGCTCACCGAAACTGAGCTCGTCTCAAGCCGTGTAGCAGATGCCTCAGCGATCCTCCGAGCTAACAGGCGGACTCCTGAACACCAAAACTGCCCGAATCTCACAAGTGTATGATCCTTACCCCCGGGCTCACCAGCAGCTGCCGGTGCCACCCATTTACTATGCATCGTCGAGGGCTCAGCTAGAGATTCCTCGCTGAGGCTTGTGCTCGCCGCCGCAGCAGCAGCCCGTGCTAATGCTGTCATAACTCGATCAGTGTAAACTAGGACTGTTGCAAACATGAGGCGTCCACCAATTCAACGCCTGTAGTGACTTCACCCGGATGACGGAGCCAAAATGAATTCATGCTCAGTATCTAGCCATGCTCTGAATCCTCGATAAGCTGTCCAGCCTCGGCAAGCTTCTACCAGGGATGAGCTGGCCGAAGACGAATACCCGAGTGACAGAAATCTGCAGTAGGAGTCTTCGATGAGACTGGAAACAGCCGACAGCTACCTCTGAGTGCAGGATAGCCCTACCGCCCAAGAGAGTTCAAACGATTGGAGGGCAGCTTCAGAAAGCTCCAGTAGATCTGGCTTATCTCCCAGCGCTATGGAGGGATGATGCTTCAACACCTTGCGGGAAAGGAGTTTGTCCTCTCTAAGTACCTCCACTGGGATTCCATCTGAGCCACAGATGCGAATACCAAGGCACCAAGAACACTATGAACTTCACGGGCCGACGACGCCGCGATATCACTTCCGCCTCTCATAATATCATGGTATGGTGCTGCGCGGCGAGTCAAGCCAACGGAAATAAGAGTAAGTACAACTCTCAGAGAATTGACAATGGTGGGTCTTGCCTTGGGTGATGAATGTACATTGCTCGCGGCGTCCACAGATTACACTCGACGTTGACGTGGGGTCGTTGGCCGTTATCTCGATTTAGTACCGTATACAATGGAGTTTCACCCGTGATATGAAAAACACTAGTGATAAGCATATTTTACGACTACTGCATATCGCGAATATCGGGGTTTTCAGAGTCTTACGCCACTCCATGTAAAACGGGTGGAACTCCAATGCATACTGTGGTAAACAGTCTGGTACTGTATACTATACGTCAGGTCCTGTTGGCCAGGGATTTGACGAGAGTAATTCTACATGTCTCTGGTCTTCGCTACTCCTTTGGGTGATAAAATCTCACTCAGAATCTTTTATTTCGAGAATAACTTCAACGCCGGCCGGCCGGCCGTAGAAGTAGTGATTCTATTACAGGACGCCAACTGTTACAGTAGTAGTAGCCGCTCCTGTAGGGTGCATCGTGAAACCAATGGTCTCCCTAGTGACAACTAGTGAGATTGGCGGTATACCGCGCCATTCGATGTCTGTGGTGGTGGATCACCTTGCATTCAAGTACTCTCGCTCCTATTGCGAACATTATATAAGGTACGCACAAGACAGTCCAAATAGGACTGCCTTGTATGTCTTGCACATAGTATGTGCATGCAACCATCGACTGTTGCCTTGATGCGCCGTAGCGGTGTCACACTACATATCATAGGTCTCTGAATACTTTGGTTGGCCACCAATAGTGCAGCATACATTGCGTGGTGGGTAGAATCCGATATTATCGTCCCAGGAAGTGCAAGAATGTGGCTTGGCGGTCTCCATTGTCGCACAAAATCGCCGATCGGAAGATCGACGACCTCCCAAAATATCACTGATTCGAAACGAGTCCGAAGACCGATAGAAATATAAATCTCGCGGATATAAACGCGAGTCCGGAAAATTCATCGGTCTAACGAACGATACAGGATTGAATTCATTACAGTGATGACAACACGTGACATTGATCATCTCACTCACCGGCACTCCCCCTCAACTGAGCAGCCCACGCATCGAAATCGCCAATACTGCCCTCCTCAATGCGACCGGGTGTGGCCTCTCGAACTGCAGCAAAATGATCGCTATCAGCCGCTGTGTTGCTCACCACGATAACCTATTGATCTCGAAAGGCCACGAGCAAGCACTTTATGTGTCTCTCCTACTTACCAGTCCCAACCCTTCAACTGTCCCACCCAAACCCTTCGTCGCCGCCACAATAGCCTGAAACCTAACTATAGCTATTAAGGAAACATAGCTGTCTCGTTATGAGGACATCTCGGACTGTCGAATATCAGGGTGATCGGAAAAAAGGCCCACCCCTCAGCGCATGTGATGATAAGACAAGTACATAAAAGGGGTTGCTTCAAAATCGCTCTGTAGAAAAAGTATTATCGGTCTCTAGATGGCGAGTAGTGTATCATTTCGGAGGTCTCGCCGAGCTCTCTACTGGTAGCCGAATGAATTCCAGAGTCTTAACATTCGACAAGTTTTGCTAAACAAATTTCTTTTTCCGCTCACCCTGTAGGAGTACTGTACTTACATCAAGAGTGACTGCGATTCCCTCACGCGAAAAGCCTACTCGTCCAGTTCCTTCTCTAATAGTAAACTTCTTGGTGGCCAGTAGCTTCTTCCTAACAAATTGTAAAATAACTCCGCCGAAACCTACACATGCTGCTGCAATGCTCACAGACTAAGATAATCGCGAGACCAGAGTATTATGATCTCCTGGAGTCCCCCCCCATACGTGATCGCCTCCGGTAAGTTGAAGAAGGATTCGAGTGAATCGCCCATCTGTCTACTGTAGCTCAGAGAAAGATAACCTGTCGTGCTCGGAGCAACGTTCTCGCCACCCTCCACGACTGGTAGGAGCAGTGCCTTGTCGTAACCGGAGTACCTGCTTCATCGCAGTACGAATGTTGCTTATATACCATGGTCGTTTCACCCCGAAACAGTAGAGTTTCACCCTAATGATATGAAAAACGCTAGCGGACAAACATATTTCACGACTATTGCATAGCGCGAATATCGCGTTTTTCACCGAGTTTTACACCACTTCACGTAAAACGGGTGAAACTCCAGTGTTGATATATGTTCGCTTTCCTCACTGAACATGGAAATTTGCACTCGAACTCGGGTACACGTGTACAAAAACCAACAACAAATTTCCCGAATTTTCCTCAGACCAATGTAGTTGACTCCGTGCATATTTTCCCACACTGCCTCAGAGAGCTCTCCATTGGGCCACTCCCATTCAGCGACGAACCCATAGGCAAGTTCTCCAGGAATCTCACAAGGCAACTATCTGAAAGTAGGTGTACTTGTATTGCAAGAGTTAGGCGTTGCTCACGCCCAGTAGCTCTCGACAATGCCAGGAGAACAGCCTCGGTAATCTCTATAACTAAATCAGCAATGCTCTCAGGAGCTTCCTCCAAATCAGAAACTAACAATCAGGTCACCAACCGTATGATCTCGATGACAAAGCATTCACCTTTCGATACGCCACTGTTGATTGCTTCCTCAATAACCTTGCAGTTACCAGCACGTTCCAGCTTGAGGCCTCGGAGTTCAGCTGTGAGACACTTAGTTATATCCCCCACGCTGGCAATAGCAGGTAGAGTGAAGACACTCAGAATCTTCGGATCGCCGCAGATGAGTACGACTACTGCAAATGTAGCTCTCTCTTTGTGTCCTCCCAGGGAAGCAACTGCATAGAGGAAATTGGAGACCTCCGTGCGGCGGGGAAATTGCAGTGTGGGTCAACTAGTGTTACAAGTGTCAAGAAGTGTTGGGTAAACTGCATGTGTTGGTGACAATAAGAAAATTGGGTGGGAGTTTCGGAAAATGCTTCTGTCTATCCGAATTCGTATGAATGACAAGAATTTCCCAAAATTTTCTCAGAATTTTCATATTGTCACCAACACGTGCAGTGGACCATGTGCATCCTTTCCCACACTGCCTAACATGAATATGCTATTCACCGGCGTCTCCATCGGTCAATGCTGCGATCATGTGAATGCATGGAGTTGAATCTGCGAAGGTTCGGAGCCTCTTCGCTGCATCGGCGAGCGACGTGGATTGCCGAATTACATCTTGGACACGCGTTGGTAGTTCATGATGATGGAGATATTCGCGTACCTACCAGGAGGTTACCACGTCCTCTTAGTGGATGGGAATCACCCTTGTAGGTAAGAGCTCCTCGCACACTATACGATTTGCATCTTCCTTGCGCATCTCGGTGACCATCAGATGGGAATATATGCGTTTGGTTTCCTCAACTGAGCTCGTAGGTTTGCTCGCTATTTTTATAAAAAATCGCACGATTTTGGGTACAAGTATACAAAAATCAACGTATTATATCAAAATTTCCTCAAAATTTCCATATTCCCAGCAACACATGTAGTTGACCACGTGCATATATTCCCGCACTCGCGACCATAACGACCACTGATGGGAGGGAAGGCAAACGTACCCTTACATCCACATGAGACACATTCACACTTCCGATCAAGTATATCACAACCGCAACAGAGTTACAACGAGCTTGAGTTCAGCTTAGTTGTTACTCTCAGTGATGTACTACTGGCTCTTCACGAATACAATTTCGGAGTCGATTTTGCCTTTCTTTCCAATTTGGTGATACGCCGCTTTTCAGGGATCCCAAGCCTTTTCTTGTCAAGGAAGAGCCCGAACTACGTCGTTGTTGTTACTACGAATGGGTATATACAGTATTCCCGAAACACTACGATGCATCGTGAGTCGCTGTCGTTATTCCCTCGACCATCACTAGGACTACTGTCTACAGTTGCCGAAGACACAGAATGGCACGTACGCCAATAGCTAAGGCCACCAGGTGGCTGAAGGAGCCAAAGTCCATGTGATATCAAATTCGCGTTGAGGACCAAAAATGCGTATGTTCTCGCAGGCCGCTACCCTGGCAGGCGCCAACTGAGGTATTCACGGGTTCCCCCCCCCCCCCCCCCGCCTCGTCGCACAATAGCAGCCCTGTAACTTCTCTATGAGGGACTTCCCCTTACAGCACAGTTGTTTTCCGTTTAGATATCTCCATTTTTCCTAAAGCTACCACGACCTACTGCAGACCGTCGGTCCTCACTAATATCACTATTCCCCTCACCCTACTTTCCCGTAGTATACAACGCTTTCTCATTAAGTTGCAAACTCAACACCAAGTCATATGAAACTATTCAGCCGGAGCTTCTCGATTCCGAATACACTCTGGTAGATCCCACTGCGTTTCACCTGATGACGACCGAGGCGAGTATGACAACAACCACGAACCTCCGCAACAGAAATCATCCAGAACTCTATAATGTTCCCGGGGGAGAACTCATTTGAATTTCCACATGGCCAGGAACACATTCTCACATT